GACAAAGAGAAGCCAAATTTATTTAATACCTTCTTCAGCTCTGTATATACAAAGAAGCATGGGGGAGCTCTTGTCCATAATGGGCATGGCATTGACACAGCTCCAGATGATCCACATTGGCTCACAATTGATATGATCCAAAAATATTTAGACAGAATAAAGGTGAATAAAGCAAATCTTTACCAAGTAATTACAGACCTGTTAGTTTAACTTCTATAGTTGGGAAGATACTGGAGAGTTTAGTAAAAAGACTATATAGATGAATTCTTGCTGGAAAAAATTATTTTCAGCAACAGACAGCATTGATTCATGAAAGACAGAAGTCAATCACATCTGATTTCTTTTTATGAGGGGGTGAGCAAAACCTTGGACAGAGGGGTGGCGGTGGACGTGGTATACTTTAATTTTGCAAAAGCATTTGACACAGTTCCCCACACACGGCTAATTTGTAAGGTAAAGTCTACGGGCTTTGAAAAATCCGTATGTAAATGGCTGGAAAACTGGCTAAAAGATCGTATTCAGAGAGTAGTGGTTAATGATTCATACTCTGAATGGTCTGGGGTCATCAGTGGTGTACCCCAAGGGTCAGTGTTGGGACCCTTACCTTTTAATATATTTATAAACGATATAGGGTCTGGGATTAAAAATCCCATTTCAGTCTTTGCAGATGACACCAAACTGTGCAGTGGAATAACGTCCTTACAGGATGTCTTCAACATAAAAGCCGACCTCAATGCACTGTTTAATTGGGCAACTATGTGGCAAATGAGGTTTAATGTTGATAAATGTAAGGTTATGCACTTGGGGGCTAAGAATATGCATGCATCATACATACTATTGGGGGTAAAACTGGGGGAATCAATGGTGGAGAAGGATCTGGGGGTTCTGGTAGATCATAAGCTTAATAATGGCATGCAATGCCAAGCTGCAGTTTCTAAAGCGAGCAAAATCCTCTCTTGTATTAAAAGAGGTATAGACTCCAGAGAGAGAGATATCATATTACCCCTGTACAAATCATTAGTAAGACATCATCTGAAATATGCAGTTCAGTTTTGGGCACCAATTCACAAAAAGAACATTGGGGAACTTGAGAAAGTACAGAGAAGGGCAACTAAACTGATAAGAGGCATGGAGGAGATCAGCTATGAGGAAAGATTAGAGGAACTAAATTTATTCTCTCTTGAGAAGAGGAGATTAAGGGGGGATATGATCAACATGTATAAATACATCAGTGGTTCATATAGTGAACTCGGTGTAGAGCTATTCACTCTGAGGTCATCACAGAGGACAAGGGGGCACTCTTTACGTCTGAAGGAAAAGAAATTTAATCTCCAAACATGGAAAGGTTTCTTCACAGTGAGAGCTGTGAAAATGTGGAATAGACTCCCTCAAGAGTTAGTTCTGGCCAGCTCAGTGGATTGCTTCAAAAAAGGTGTGGATTCTTTCTTAGATACACAGAAAATAACTGGATACTAACATTTATAGGTAAAGTTGATCCAGGGAATATCCGATTGCCTCTTGGGGGATCAGGAAGGAATTTTTTCACAGCAGGTGCAAATTGGATCATGCTATGCTGGGTTTTTTTGCCTTCCTCTGAAACAACTGTGGGTATAGGATTATACCTTTTTTTTTTTCTATGGTTGAACTGGATGGACATTTGTCTTTTTTCAGCCAGACTAACTATGTATCTGTAGTGTAGGTTGTTAATGATGTTGGTAATAGTCACAAATGCTAAAAAAGATCCAGTTACAAAAATTAGCAACGGTTGCTAGTTTGCTATGGGCTGTTGACATAAATGAAGCTATTGGTGACCATTAATTCCACATATAGCAATTATCTAATTGTGAACAAAAATTTACTTTTTTTATTTAACATTTCAATTTCAGTTAAAATTTATGTGCACATTTCAAATTTACAAATGGTTTAAAAAAATGTCAGGAGCCAACAATGTTCATGGAAAATTAAAGGCAAGAATGACTCGTTTAAACAAGGTGCCAGTTTTTAATTCATATATGTTATTATTATTGTTGTTGTTATTATTAATAATAAAAATAATAAAAATATTTAACATTTCAATCTTGTCAGTGCCTTTATAGTGAAGCCCCAGATTGAAGTAAAAACCTGATATGGATTCTAAACCAGCTCTCCAAACTTTTCAAACAAAGGGCCAGTTTTCTGTCTTTCAGACTTTAGATGGGTCAGACTGTGGCAAGTTGGAGTAGAAAATGCCCTGGCGTCAGTGGGAGTAAACAATGTCCCATCTATGGTACTGAGGAAGGAATAGTGCCCCATCGTTGGTCTCAGTGAGATGAATAGTGTCCCATCACTGGTATCAGTGGGAGGAACAGTGCCCCATTGTTGGTGTCTGTGGGAGGATTTGTGCTCCAAGGGCTGAATAGAGGCAAGCAAAGCATTTGGCCACTGGGCCGCAGTTTGGAGATCACTGTTCAAGCCTTCCACACTCTGTCAAAAACTAAACATAAAAGTATTGGTTTTAAACAAGGCCAGAGGTTAAAAGATGTCCCTGCAAAGAAGACAATAAATACTTTCCTCTCCCACAACCCATGCTGCTCTAAAATCATCTAGTTGAAATCTCTTCTGAAACCAGCACTTCTGGGAGTGATAATGTCCTAGCCCTCTGCTGGGCTTAGTGGTTCCTTCCTCTTACCCTACATCGATACAAGATATACTAATAGCATAGCGGTCAGCAGGAGGAAACACTGAGCATAGAAGGATCTGACACCTCCAGAAGTGGTGGTTTCTCATGGTATTTTAGATGACAATTTCTCTGCATTAGAGAAGTGTTTAGAGGCAGGCAGTGGGAAAATAAAGTATTTCCTTTCTTATTTGCAGGGACAGCTTTAATTCAGAATTTTATTTTAGTGACAAAATCAGTTTTAATGAAAGTGCAGCAAAATGGCCACATAATATAAACCAAATCTGAGTCTTAGGCCCCTTTCACACGGGATGGACTTCATTTTGAACAGCAGGGGATCTGTCCATTGATCTCCTGCTGATCAGAGCAGGCAGATGACAAGTCCATGTCCGCTCAGTCTATGCCAACCTTTTTATACAGTATATGCCAGGTTGTGTTTTACATTGGCTGGTCTAATCATTCTATAAACTTTCCTCTTTTTACTTTTTACAAGAAAGTGCAAAGTTTCTGTGCTGAAAACTGATCAGTATCTTAAGGAATAACTTTAGAAATGTCAGAGACAGAACCTTGGCCTACCTCCAGTATCACCGCACACCTTTTCGGTTGTCTTTGTATATTTGGAGCCATATCTTTGTGACTATTCGGTATAAAAAAAACAGTTGCATGAGAGTGACTCATGTGACAAAGACAGCACAACTGTGCCTTTCCTTTCATGATTAATTAAGACAGAAATGAGGTTGGACTGAGCAGCAATTCAGAGACAAATGAAAAGGTCAAAATTAATGAGGGGAGGGATCTTTAAAAAGAAATTACAGAAAAAAGTATTTCATCAGTTGTCTTTCTACCTCTGTGGAAACAGGCTTCACCAGTGTCTCAATTGTTCTTTTAGTCTGAAGACTGTATTTCCTTTCTATTTGTGGTCTGCACCTGACTCATCCTTAAACTCCATGAGCTGTCCAAACACCTCTTCCTACTCTCCATCACTGATACGCAGAATTGAGCTTCATAAAATGATCATTAAGAAAGCAAATCTGAATTTGTAATTCTCTCTTTGGCTTTTGTTATTAAAGGTGCAAGACTACCTCAAATACTGATGCCCCATCCTTGCCACCTCTAGCATTTTAGAAGAATTATTATTATTATTATTATACAGTATTTATAAAGCGCCAATAGTTTGCTCAGCGCTGTACATTACAAAGGGGGACAGAACATGTGACAGAACAATACCAATACAATGCAAAACATGAGGGGATCGAGGGCCCTGCTCCTTGGAGCTTACAATCTAGGAGAATACTCACTTTCCAATGCAGAAGGTGCTGTATGCCACCAGGCACACAGGTGTCCATAGAATGCACAATTCAGGTTTCCATAGAAGTGCAAGGTGTAAGACCCCCTACTTTACTTTTCACATGTGCCAGCGCTCCCTATAGGCTGCAACTGTGAGGCTATAGAGTGACTGTGCATAGCTGAAATGGATGTCTTTAACACTTTTGTTGCTGTGGAAACCTGATTGCTGACTTTCTATGTTGTGTACTACAGCTTCTGTGTTGACTATTGATTCCTCTAAAATTCTGAAACGGGCCAAGATGGACTTTTTTTCTGTTATAGGTACTATTGCACTTATGTTTAATATTGCAAAACAGAATTTCCCAATCACCACCTGAATTATGATCTAAAGATGACCGGGGTCTAGGAGGTAAGGGGGAGCATGCTAAGCTCAATTTTTAAAGGAAAATTAGAGATTTCTATATGAGTTCAGCTGCCCTCATCTGTAGATGTACTGATCATTTTGTCTTATAGTTTAAATAATACCTAAATACACAGTTGTTATACACATATATTTACTGATTTACTTCTGTGGTAATTTAAAGGGATTTGTGATGTCCTACATTGCACAGCCGATACATACACACACACACACACACACACACACACACATATATATATATATATATATATATATATATATATATATATATATATACACTATATGGCCAAAAGTATTGGGACGCCTGCCATTACATGCACATGAACTTTAATGGCATCTCAGTCTTAGTCTGTACGGTTCAATATTGAGTTGGCCCACCCTTTACAGCTATAACAGCTTCAACTCTTCTGGGAAGGCTGTGTTTAGGAGTGTGTCTATGGGAATGTTTGACCATTCTTCCAGAAGCACATTTGTGAGGTCAGGCACTGATGTTGGATGAGAAGGCCTTGCTCGCAGTCTCCACTCTAATTAATCTCAAAGGTGTTCTGTCGGGTAGGGGTCAGGACTCTGTGCAGGCCAGTCAACTTCTTCCACCCCAAACTCACTCAGCCATGTCTTTATGGACCTTGCTTTGTGCACTGGTGCGCAGTCATGTTGGAACAGGAAGGAGCCATCCCACAAAGTTGGGAGCATTAAATTGTCCAAAATGTCTTGGTATGTCGACGCCTTAAGAGTTCCCTTCACTGGAACTATGGGGCCAAGCCCAAACCCTGAAAGACAACCCCACACCATAATCCCCCTCCACCAAACTTTACACTTGGCACAATGCAGTCAGGCAAGTACTGTTATCCTGGCAACCACCAAATGCAGACATGTCCATTGGATTTCCTGTCAGAGAAGCATGATTCATTACTCCAGAGAACACGTATCCACTGCTCTAGAGTCCAGTGGCGACGTGCTTTATACCACTGCATCTGACGCTTTGCATCGCACTTGGTGATGTAAGGCTTGGATGCAGCTGCTTGGCCATGGAAACCCATTCCATAAAGCTCTCTACACACTGTTGTGCTAATCTGAAGGCCACACAAAGTTTGGAGGTCTTTAGCTATTGTCTCTGCAGACAGTTGGCGACTTCTGCCTACTGTGCACTTCAGCATGCGCTGACCCCACTCTGTCATTTTACGTGGCCTGTTGTTCCCAGTTGCTTCCACTTTGTTATAATACCACTAACAGTTGACCGTGGAATATTTAGCAGCAAGGAAATGTCACAGATTGACTTATTGCACAGGTGGCAACCTATCACGGTACCACGCTTGAATTCACTGAGCTCCTGAGAGCGACCCATTCTCTCAAAAATGTCTGTAGAAGCAGTCTGCATGCCTAGTTGATTTTATACACCTGTGGCCATGGAGGGGATTGGAACACCCGAATCTAATGATTTGGAGGGGTGTCCCAATGCTTTTGGCAATATAGTGTAAATACACTGTGATACGATAGATAGATAGATAGATAGATAGATAGATGAAATTTTTAATTCTGCAACCGGTTATAGTTTGCACACATTTTTCCACACTGCATAGCCAGACATGTGACAGCCTTATTAAGAAATTCACCTTCATAGTTCAGCAGTGCATTTTCCTGTGTAAACTCTCCATCTCCAGCCTACTCATTGAGGTTGATTTACTAAAGGTAAATAGACTGTGCACTTTGCAAAAGCAGTTGGACTAATTTTCCTTAGTAGTTGTAATATGATAAAGCTTCACTTTGTAAAGAATACCCAGTCAGGTGCAAGGAAAATTAAAACATTCATTGGATGATGAAAATTAGCAGAGCTTTACCACATTTACTAAGCCCTGGGGAAAATGAGTGCAGCTGCACTTGCAAAGTACATCATCTATTTGCCTTTAGTAAATTCACCTCAATGGATAAGGAGAAGTTTGTGGTTAAAAACAAACAAACATTCATACTCACCTGCATGCTGCAGCATTGCACTGATGCTGCAGCTGTCCCCCACCAGCTGTAGGTCTGAGAACTGAGCAATCACATGACCACTGATGGCTGAGTTTTCAGTGAGCTCTGAGCAGAGAGAGGTGACTGTCAGTCAATGCTTCTTTCCAGCAGTCACTGAAGCGCCGAGCTGGTGAGGGAGTGGGCACAGCTGGCTTCAAGGCAGCTGCATGGATCCCAAATATATTGTTGACCCTGGAGGGGTTCTGTGGTGTCAGCTAATAGCCCACTACTACTTGACTCTGGGTCAGAGGAGAGCAAATTATGGCTTTGGCCATATGCCTCTTTTAGTAGCATCTTAACCTCTTTTCCATTGGAAGAGTGTTGACCTAGAAAACAGTAAAGCCAAGTCTTGAAGTAGCAAGTCTTTCTATAGCAGCCTTTCTCAAACTTATTACCCCAGATGAACCCTTCAAATAATTTTCAGGTCTTGGGGAACCCTTACTAAAACCAGTTCATCTGGAGTTAATGGGAAAAATGGCTCTTACTTTGCTGGTCAGTAGGAAGTATGCAGCCCTCACAGTGGTGGTCAGAATGCCACCCTTACAGACAGCTAAAAAGTGTTATGGTGTTTGCTCTGCCATTTACTGCTGGCTGTGGAAATGTGCAGGCATCATCAGATGGGTGGTCATTCAACCACAAATCATTGAATCCCAGTAATCTCTGGAGGAGCCCTAGTTCAGAATGGCTGTTCTATAGTGTGAAAGAAAAATGTATCAAAAGAATTGCTGGCCAAATTTACAAATTCCTTAACAGGTAAAGCAGTATACGTCTATGCATTTGAGCTGTGTGATTAACTATTTGCATTGAGCTCCATTTCCTGATAACTTTTGCTTAGGCATTTTTTCTTTAAAAGCTCAGTTTGCCCCTGGCAAACTTTAAAGGCTACATTCGCCTTTTGCAACATGTTACATAAGACACCCGTATTTAGGGTATAACATGTAGCATGTTACTATGCACCGGTCCCCACACCCCCATCCCCCCCCAACCCCATGACTCCTCTCCCCTCTGTGTGGGCAGGTTTTCACACTGGCCCAATGGTTTGTGCATTAACCACTCAAGTACCAATCTGAAACATAAGTGCAACAGGAACTGTACTCTTGAAGCTGTGACTAAAGAAAAAAAAAGGAGGAGGGTAAAAGACTAGTCCCAAGATTGTGGTCTCCCTACAGCTGATTTTTTTTCCCACTACTGAGTTATCATGTCTCATGACACATGCAGTGTTCCTCTGTGTGGAGGTGGCCATCTTGTTAGAAGCAGGGTTTTGCTTCCTCATGTCAGAGCCCTCAGCAATGAAAAGCACAGTAGTGACAGCACAAAATCTTGTTCCAGATCTCCTGAGACTAGAAGTCAGATGCAGCAGTACCTTAGATCTCAAACTGAGTGCCTAGGCACACTGACATACCACTATATTGCCAAAAGTATTGGGGCACCTGCCTTTACACGTGCATGAACTTTAATAGCATCCCAGTCTTAATCCATAGAGTTCAATTTTGAGTTGGCCCACCCTTTGCAGCTATAACAGCTTAAACTCTTCTGAGAAGGCAGTCTGCCAGTTTACTGCCTTCCCAGAAGAGTTGAAAATTCTGCCAGTTGCCGTACCCTCTGCATTTCTGCCTTGTACCTGGTGCCAGTTATCATATCCCTCCACACTACTCTTCTGCATGCATGCCAACCATCATACCTTGTGCACTCCTCCCCTGTACATGCTGCCTACTGAAATATGCGACATTATCCTCCCCCATGCATACTGCTTGCTGTCATACCTTTCACATTCTTATGCACACACTTCCAGCTGTCATATTCTTTACATTATTCTCTTGCACACATGTCCGCAAAGACACTTCTTTAACACTGTAAAATTCCCAAATGTGTACATTCTGGAATGGGCATACTTTTGCTCGTATTTAAAGTGACTATGAAGCTTTAATTTCAATAAGTTTAATCATTTTAAAATAATAAACATGTCATACTTACCTGCTCTGTGCAATGGTTTTGCACAGAGCAGCCCTGATCCTCCTCTTCTGGGTTTCCCCGACGGCGCTCCTGGCTCCTCCTCTTCAGCTAGTGTCCCCATAGAAAGCCATTTTCTCTGAGGCCACCTATGCAAACTTGATCCTGAGCAGCACTGCCTGTGTCAATAGACACAGATAGCAAGGCTTGGTCCTGACCCAACTTCCACCCCCTGCTCCCTTTTCGCAGATTCACAATTTGAATCTACCCTGTAAGGAAGGAGAGAGTGGAGAGAGCCCCTGCTCTCTGGCACAGAGCTGGATTGAGATTGGGCTCAGGTGGGTATGGAGGGGGGGGAAGGGGGAATCCTGTGGAACAGAATGTTTTTTTTCTTAATGCAGAGAAAGCATAAGGGAAAAAAACCCTTAATGCCTTAGAACCACTAGAAAGTGAATCCAAGAACCTCTGAGAGGATACAGAGCAGTGCAGAACAAGGCTAGCAAGGCAAGACAAGGGGGTTGCATCATTATTATCTCAGTTCAGCTCGAAATCTACTTGTGTACATTAATTTACTAAAAGTCATGCCTGCCAAGAATTGATCAACTGTCAGAAGAAATGCACGATGATACACTAACGAGTTTATAATCTGTTCAGACTTCAGTCTCAAGGCTTTCCCTTAGTATTTCTAAAAAGACAACTTGAATCTATTTACATAATTTGGGCTTTTAAGTTTGTACTGGGACCATCTTGTATGTGTTCACAAATGTTTTTTGGATACTCTGTAGATGCTAGCCACTTGTACAGGGAACACATGATGATTAAAAAGTATACAGTGAAAATTAACACTTGACTCTTGCCATCCAAGGATACAATTGCTTTTAGTCAAAGGTTTAGTCATTAGCGGTAAAGTGCGCCATTCCAGGATGCTGTTAGGAAGAGACAGCACAAACGTAATTCAGTCAGAAATATATACAAACAGGTAATTAGCGCTGCTGATGTTCCAGTTAGAGTACAGAATGGAGAAGAGTATTAAATATTATGATGAAAATGCTTGTGAAATATATAACAGCTCAAAGCAAAAAAACAGATTCCTGAGTAATTAAAATCCCTGTGTAAATAGAACACGTTGAAGTTTGTTTTACTGCACTCCTAATCTGTTCTTTCTTGGTAACATTAGTTTATGGTGTGTTCGGTGTATGTGTAATATAACTAAGATCTGCTTAATTCAGTTTGGGATTTTCATGTAGACATCTGGTCCCCGTCTAATGCATGCTGCAATTACTCTGTTTATTTGCTGTGGTGCCATTAGCAAGGCTATTTAGGTAAAATTGGAAGTAAAAAGGTTTAGCACCCTCCTAGATAGCCTAGCATCCTCATAGGATGTTAGGTACATTTCGTTATTTTTGGCTATTCTGTTATCATTGGAGCAGCTGTTTGTTTCTCTTGGCTGTTGTGGGGCCTCACAGGCTGTAGGTCTCATTGCTCAGCCCTGCCTTCTGGAGAATTCTGAAACATAGGAGGTTGAGTAAGGCAAATGGGCAGCGTGAATATCTATTGTGCTACAGCCAGTCCCTACTGTGCCCAGTAGATGAATGAAGAGCTCATAAATAGTCTGAAGCCTAGAGTAGCCCTGTTGTAGACATGGGTCTAACCCTTCAGAAGTAGTTCCCAGCCTGAGGGGCTCTGCCCCTGTGGGCAGACTGCTGGAGTTTACTGCATGTTCATTGAGTTCCCAGCTGTGGCATAGTTTGGAGGCCTTCTTCTAAAAAATCAAAGCTAAGTAAGGGAACCCTCATTTAACCCCTTGACGCCGGTGCCTCCCAACCCTTTAAGGGTTTCAGCAGCCAGGAGGCGGGGTAGGGTTTAGGGTCATGTGACCGACATGACACACCGTCACGACGGTCAAATGATCGAGAAAGGTCCCGATCGAAACAGGAGATTGGTACGTTTCCGTGAGTACGGGACATGTGTGCTGGGATCGCACAGGGCATGCACTCAGAGCACATGTTTTTTTTTTAATAGAATGCAAATGTGCGGCTGCTCGGCGTCTAGGCCCAGACGTTTGGCCGCCATGAAGAGGTTAAGCACCTGATCTGTAGAGCTCACTGAAAAGTGCCTGATGGAAGTTAACAGGAGTCTGACTGTCCTGTGGCATTGTGAACATTGTCCAGTGGATACTGGAAGGAGGCATCCAGTGGCCCTATGACATTGTGAGCACAAACCTGAGCTTAGGGTCCTAGTTATTATGTGCTGTTTCCATTGGGTAGATAGGTCAGTGGTAGTCCTCACTGGGATAGCTTCTAAATAGGACTCAGTTCTGTCATCTGTAATTGTTCCTGCATAGAGACTGTTCAGGGATGCTTAGTAAAGTGAAGTGTCCTGTGAATATTCAGTGAATCTGGAGTATCCCATATCATCCTACAG